CTGGATTGCAAGCAATTTTGAATATTTCATCGGAAATCAAGTCAAATGTTATCTATAAAAATGATAATTATTCATAGCTAATTACCTCAATCATAGTTCGATACGTCCAAATTGGTATATCCACTCTAGTGTTGCAAATGTGTCAAGCTTCAAATGGTATTTGAGTGAAAATTATCGAAACGAGACACATAATTGCAACATAATCAAATCAAATGCGGTTTTTATTTTGTAATTACAAACGCATTACAAGTATCAACCAATTATAAATTAATCAAATAGTTCAGAGAGCCAACATTGTCATCGTAGTTGTAGTACGTTGCAGTGTGCAGAGTCGAGTAGCCGGGAATCGTTTGAGTAAATATGGAAATAATTACCGCTTATTGTATGAGAGCTCAAGCATTTTGCATATCGTATCTAAAGTGGCCCATTTGTGTTGACGCATACACACACACACACACACACACAATGACCAAGGCAAAAAAGGAAAGGAAAAAGAGCGAGCTTCTCATATTCAGACACTAAAACTCTCGTAAATTTATGTGTTGACCTTACTTAATGCGGAGATAAATCACAATCTTTATGAATACGCTATGCTCGCTCACCATGAATATTCTCTCTCTTTCTCGTAATGTGAGGAACAGAGAGTATGTATGTGTGTGCGAAAGATAGAGATAGAGAGATTGGACTATATGGATTCGGTGGTCGTAACAACTGTGCAAATATTATGATTTCACCGGAAGAGAGATACAGAGCGAGCAAAAGCGAGAGGAGAAAGAATGAAACGAAGAAAAATAAATTTTATTTAACGACGTTTATTGAATGCAAAAAGTCAAACCGAAAAGCCACTGGAACATGAATAATTCCAAAAATGGAAATGATGTACATGGTTTGGGGCTATTATTACGGACAAAAGGCGAAATATTCATAAAAATTAAAATCAAATCGAGGAGATGATGGCAATAACCGAAAAGATGAGGGAACAACGGGGAAAAGCATGAGAAGATTGGCGAGAGAGAGAGCGTAATAGAATTGAATGGCTCAATATAATTCAATCTAAAGCACATAACATAAATGCACATTGCCAATGGTTTTATTGCGAGCACGAAAAATTTGTGAAAATGCCGAAGATGAAAAACCGTGTACGCTGTTATGCTCATCACAACGATATTATGATCGCAGAAAGATGCGTAACACAGCACGAAAATATTCAACATTTTTCAGAATATAATTTGAACGCAGCTTGTTTTTGATTCGCAGCTGTTTACAGTAGCAAAATGAGCACCGTTTATTTCTTTCAGTTTTTTCTTCATAATAATTTACATATATATTCAATTGTTGAATGCCGTTCAATGGATGGCATGAAGAAATGTTATATTTAATTAAGAATTTAGCAGAAAATGACACGGTAAAATATGGTGCAAAGTCGAATAATTTACAAGAAACATTTACTTAATGCAACGACTCAATGGCAACTAGAGGTATCATAAACATACAAAAAAAACTGTTCTATTAGTTGTGTATGTTTGTGTGGAACCAAAGAACCACTGTGCCAGCTGCGTTCAGCTCCAAATAAATTCCGAGAGAAAATACAATCTGATAGGTGTAAACTAGCTGTTTTCAACTTAAAGTTCATCTAAATATAGAATTCTGAAGTTATTATTATATCATCCAATTTCTCCATCGCATCGACATTGGCTGCGTAAATCACAGAAGCAAATTGTGCGGCAATGGTGTGCTTCATTGTCACACGACAAATACAGACCGTTTCATATTCGTATCAAAAGCGATTGCAACAAAGTCAACAATGGCAACAACAACAACGACGAAAGAGGAGAGAAAGAAATTGACGCGAAGAAAAGCAGAGAAAATCATAAATGTAATTTTAGTGCTTGAACCCATGAGTACGCGGCGAGAGTCATTTTATGAATATCGCTAAAGTGACGGTAATGTTTGCTTCTTTTTTGCTGCTGCTGCTGCTGCTGCTGTTGCCACCGCCACCATCACCACCGCTGGTTTTTTTCTGTATTGGTGTGTGTGTATGTGTGTGTGGGTTTACCGTTTGTCGGGATACACGCCTGGGTGGTACGCACAACCGAAACAACAAATCGTCTCTCACAAACACTTCGCGCGTCGGCAATGGCATTTCAAGATTTTATGTGTCTGTTGGCTCTTGAATTTGATCCACATGGCGTCAAAGAATAATAGCTTCGTTACTTGTGGAACATATATACGTACACCCATAAAGTGCACCCATAAACACATCATCACATGCAGTCTGTCGAAATGCGAACAGCAATCCACTTCACATTCGATTTGAAACAAAATGAAACGGTGTGCCTGGATGTTACGAGTTGCTAGCTAAATCCAGACGACGACATCTAAAATCCGAAGAAAATGTGAAATGCCTGGATAGAAAGCGACAAGAAATGTGTTATCATTGCCAGACGATACGAACACCGACAAAATCATAAAGCAATACGATGATTTGAAATGTCAGGAATTTGAATATTGAATTATATCGTTGTCGTCGATTCAATTGACATTGTTTGCAGCTACAATTTTTCAAAGAAAAAAAAACACCAGATTCTTTGTCGTTCATCGAATGAAAGTACACAAATAAAGCGGGATATGTCAAGTGCTATTGATGCTAAGCGAATAGTACGCAGGAAAGGAATGAATGACATCATGAATGATATATTACGGGCAAAATATCCAACCAGTCACGAAAAAATTATACGCATTCAAAATATGCCACTTTCTTTCTTCATGTACGTATATAAGCGCAAGTTGCATACGCATTTGATTTGTTTACCAATGCATTGTACACATGTCTCATGCTAACCGAATCAAGAAAATGAAGAAAAGCAAGTGCAAAAGTGAATAATTTTCGACGTATTCGCATCTAATATAACATTCTGGATGCACGACCCGCATCAAGCTATTCTCAGTTGTATTTCGGCTCGACGTTGTAATTTTTTTTATTACTCTTCCCCTCTGCATCGGCGGCGCTACCTTTATTGTCTTTTTTTTTTATTTAACTTAAATTTAATAGATGTTAAAATACCGTGCGTTGTTATTCCCTGTTGTTACATCAACTTTTTTTTTTCCACTGAAAAATCCCATAAAATCAGACATTCCGTTCTGCTACATATCGAGCCCGGCTCTTGTATGCGCAGTCAGCTATTTATCGCAAGAATGACATTTTTGTTGTTTTGTTTTTATTTCTCAACAAGTTTGCCTATATCAACGCATTGCCACTGTACATATTATATAGTCCATAAGAGACGTAAAATGTTCGCCATTTACTTTTACATTGCCAATACATTATTTATGGGGATTTTTGTTTATTTTTTGTTGTTTGTAAACAAATCTGTCTATTTTTTGTATTGTCTTTGCACATTTCGTATGGACATAAACTATGTAAGGTAGCAATGCAAAAATATAGGCAAATTTGTTTACAAACAATAAAACAAAACAAAAATCTCATTCTTGCGATAAATAGCTGGCTGCGCATACAAGAGCCGAGCTCGATATGTAACAGAATGGAATGTCTGCATAAAATATGCAATATTTTTGCTCAAAATTGAACAAAGAATAAAATTACTGAATTCGAGACAACAATGTGCTCACCCCATCTCTGCCAACCTCACTCACTGCACAGTCACGAAAATCTCAATCTAAATAGAGCAGAAAAAACAACACACACAGAGACAAACACATTTTATATGTGTATATAAGTGCAAATCCATAAGAAACATTTAAAATATAAATTTATGCCCATATTGTCGAAAAAAGGGCAGAGGCAAAAGAGAAAAAATGAAATCCATCTCATAAAAATCATAAAAGCAACAAAATTTATTGCCACTCAGGTTTTGTTTGCTTTCGCCAGCATGGAAAGAAGACGAAAAAGGAAGAGAAGAAATAAAAAAGAATGAATTCTCCACCGCGATTTTGTGCCTACGTGCATACGCAACGAGAGAAGGGAAATACGGCACATACATAAACACACGGCGTCAGCCAAAAGTTTTTTTTTCTTATTCTTGTTCTTTTTTTTTGTTTTTATTTCCCAGTATGTATACGTTTAAATCGTAATGTATCATCTACTTGGCGAGTTACTGGCATAAAATATGAAAATTGCCATAAGACTCGCACAAAGGCAATTTAATTTTGTTGAAGCAGAAAAAAAACAAGTATCGCAAAGAAATCGTGATTCAACCGGTTCAGCTACCACAGAACGAAGGAAACAAAAGAAAAAAAAACAATATTACGGGGCACTCACTCACAACGACACATGCATATACAGTCTCTATCCAATAAACAACAATAAATGGACGGAAAACAAAAAAAATACAAATCGCACAATGATTGTCGTAGCACAGACATTGAAACATTTCAAGTTGCTTTTTGGCTTTGTTCTTGTTTCCTTTGCGGCTCATCTACAGAACATGTGCATAAACATACGAAAAATGTTATTCGTGTGCTTGAGAAAATTCATTTTCATGAAATTACCGTGTTTGTTGCATGCGAATGCGAATGCGAAGACATAAACATAAATTGGTGGAATTTGCAAAAGTGGACAATGCAAGCGAGAGAGAGAGAGAGAGAGAGAGAGAGAGTGTGTGTGAAAGAGAGAGCACGCAAAAACACATTCACCCAAATAATATAGCTGCATACAGAGCGATCCAGAGTATAGTAATATTTACTAGCTTCAGTTGGCCTGATTGCGCCTAATATGGATTAAATAAATTACTTATGTGCTGCTGTTGTTGCTGCAGAGAACTTCATACGTGACTCTATATTGTGACAGCCAATCAACGGTCACTTTTTCACTCATTCACTCGTTTACTCTCGATTTGTTTACACATGGCACATTGGAGTGCGGTGTGTGTATACTGTATATTTCATTTCACCCCAAAAACAAAATATGCGCTTACTCTTCATAAATGCAAACAATTTGTTTTTCTTTCGTTTTCATTAAATCGCTTCGGTTTTTATTACAGGTGCTGCGGGCAGCCAGTCCGGCATTGCTTCGTGTGATCGCATTGGGTGCATTCTTCATTTACTGTACGGTAAGTGTTTTTTGTCACGATTTTTTCTTTTTATTTTAATGTTATAATTATTATTTTAGTACGCAACTCGTTACTTTTTTTTTGTTTCATTTTAAATTCGCAATTACAACAAATTGCATTTTTTGCGAGCGGGGAATATCGTTTGTGTGTGTTTTTATGGATAATTTAATTTGGTTTTCATTTCACTTCAATCTGTCACATTTATATATCTATGTATATATATATAAATATGGGTTGAGCATAAAAAAGAGCCAGTCACATTGACTTATTTTTATTACAGCAGCTTTGTCGGGATATATGATGGCCGGAATTGCACCTGGCTCATAAAACAGTACAAAGTCAACGAAAGACATTTAATATTGAGTTGAAAAAAAATTGTTTCCTTTTTTTATTAGTTTTCATTTGATGTGAAATTGGTACTTCACTCAGAACATTTGTCTCTTTAGCTAAGAACAGCATAAAAAGTTGCAATTCTTCGTTATTGCGCATAGTCTTGGAATCAAGTAACGAAATATTCATTTCAAACAAGTTTTATTTGTTAGCCAGGAATGCACACAATTCCTCAAGTGAACAAAGAATTTTTATTTAATTTTGCACGAAATACTGTTATTTGATTAGTCGCTTCGATGGTCGTTATTGCATTGCCAAAGGCAGCTTTCTTTTATGTCGCATTCAATAACGAGTCGTTCGAATAAAGAAAAAGAGAAGTGTGAATTACCGCTGGTTAAATCATTTTGCACATTTTCCAAGCAAGTCATCAAATTGAATCGTCATTTTGGGCATGAGCCGAAATGCTGTTCAAATAAAACATTTAAATTAAAATGTGAATTTTTCTCTCATTCCTCAATCCGTATCATTTCATTCTTTTCCACATGCTGTTATTACCCGTACATTGCCTGCAGCGTACCACTTCCATACGTTACTGGCTGCTTACTAATTAAAATCCATGCAAAAGTATTTCGCTAAACATTTTTGAAGATTTTCGTTTGATTTAAATAATATAATTTGACATAAAGATGCATGTATCGTACCACAGAACGGAGAATTCGAGGTAAAAACCGCAATCGCAATTCGAACTGGTGTATACATCCAATGAAACCGCATGAAATCAAATCATTTGTTTGACGAACTGAAAGAGATGTGAGAGATTTGTTTGTATGTGAAAGTGTACTTCTCTTTCAGTCTTCTCTTCTCAAAGAGCAAAGAATGGCAAAAATCGGTCTTGCGAATGATTTTTGCTACCATTTGACTAAATCCGGAATTGTGTAGAGTTTTTTTTCTTTTAAAATCTACATTAAAACATGGTTTACTTGCTGTATTATTTGAAAGTGTGTAAAGAAAACGTGTAAGCTGGTGTGGATGGGTGGATCTGCTTTTGCCATGGTAAACATAGCTAAATATAATGGTAGAACGAGAGGGAGAGTAAGATAGAGAGTGAGAGAGAGAGAGAGAGAGAAAGAGAGAGAAAGAGAGAGAAAGAGAGCGAGACGGTGGGAGATGGGGAGAGTGGAAGCAAAACACACTAAACCAGAACATTTCCGCATACATGCATTTCACTTTAACCACCTCGAAAATGATTTTTCACATCTTTTTCATTGGCAGTGGCTGTTGCCTCGTTCGCTTCCACATTACGTGCTATTCGCAATTCATTCAAATGGAACGGCAAATAAACACATTTTGAACATATTGAAGCAATACGAACGCAAGTACGACAAATAAAACGTGTGCTGAAAACATTTCCGAGTGCATTTTGGATTTTTTTTTAACAACACACTTACATGCTACTTCAACATAAGCTCTCATATATTATTTGTTTGGCAAATAATGAAGTGATGCCTTTGAAATAGTGGCGCGCGCGCGCACACGAACAGAGAACCAATTGTAAATTGACCTAGAAAATGAGATTCGAATGCTGTTTCTGTTTTTCTTTTCATTTTAGTCGAATCAAACTGAAGGATTGTAGAAAGTGAAATGATTCAAAGTGGAAATCAATTTGTTCCTTAGTGAAATGGTGCATCGATTCATGCACGAGATAACTTTTGTGATAAGTGAATGCACGATACAACACTCCATGTGAGGTGTCGTAATTGAAAATTTTATTAAATTTTAAACATTTCTGAATCTGTATGCATAGATGTGGTGGCCCAAACACATCGCCAATGCCTCTCTTATACACATAACCTTCAATTAATTTTGGAACAAACTCACTTGACGCACATTAGGCAAACACAATGAATATTTACACAGAGAGATTCTTTGGGAAAACCGTAATATAATTGAATGACAAAAATACGCATCCAATTTAAATATTCTGATTAAATTTCACCATTCACACTGCTATGAACTACATGTTGTTTATTTTCTTAATCTGGGAAAGGAAGGAAGGCGAATTCAATTTGTTTTGGATATTTTTTTTCCAACGTATATGCTATGAGACAGTTTGGAATGTCCGGTTCATCCGTTGAGTGTTGTTGTTTTTTTTTGGGGCAAGCGGATTCAACAGAATGCGTGGTATTATTGGTATGGGTTTATGTAATATGTGGGCATTTTCATTTACCATCCAAAAAACGGTCTTTCAACGAATACACAAAAAACAACCTTGTCCAATCAGTTGCAATAAAAAGCGCTGGCAGCACACATATGAAATCCAATTGCGCCATCAGAACGCTGAGTGATAAACTGCACTTTATACACGTTTTGATGTTGGTCAATTTTTCTGCCACTTTTTTTCTTCGCTTTTTCTCGTTCGCTCATCTTTATTGTTTCCGGCCATTTTTCGTCTACATGTGTGTGTATGTATGTGAGCGCACTCTCAAATGCTGTAACATTTTCTTTCATTGCATTTAGCAACATATGACTCGTACAACTGTGTTTTATGGGGCCAATCGATGCTCGATTTGTTAAAACTTACCCGTCATAATTCCTAAATCACCGTAGTGGTTTTCGTACTTGGCAGAAAAAAACAACAACATTCACTTTGCCATTCAATTTAATTGAGCGCTCCACCCTTCCGATTGTTGCGAAAGCTTTGCAGTAGTGGCGCCATTCACATATTGTGGTCGAATGGAAAATTACACAATGGCAATGATTGTTGCGAAATTGATAATTACAATAAGTATTGATAGTTCTTCAAAATGCTGCTAATGTGCACTCATCGCCACTTCTGTTCATCAAATGCCTGTAATGACAAACAAGTGGTGGAGCGATCGATCGAACCATATCATCGTGTTTACTTGATATTTTTTTTATCGATGTCGGTAAATGAGAAACCGAGAGAGAGAGAGAGAGAGAAACCACCACTCTACCCAACCACTCTATTTCATTACTCATTTGTTCACAGGTAGTCCGAAAATAATCCAAGAGAGAGAAAATACACACACACCCAACGCAAGCACAGTCAATAGAAAGCACGTCTATCAATTAATTTTCGAAATGTTGCAATATAATATATTGGAGCACCACTCGCGCCCAAATCCATAATCGTAATAAATTATTTGGAAAAACTCTCGTTCGAAATGATATTTGTTCGGAAAATGTTGCAGCTGCTTTTAATGAACTATCGTCGTATGATTTGTTTTTTTTTCCCGGTGTGTAATAACCAAATCCGCGATTGTCCCCTAGAGAAAAATACACACGTTCCTCTCTGTGGAATTTGCAATGCCATTTTTAGACCCACCACAACCATCACAACCAATACAAACACAGATTTATGTCTCGAGGCGTCGACCAAAAATCATTATCGGCAAACATTTGTTGACTCATTTTCCCAACCATTGCCTTACACGGAGTTTTAATTACAAAACTGCCAATGTGAATAACATGAAGAAAGCAAACATATATTTGATCAACGATTTCATCGGTTCCCGTCGATATTTGAGTGTGCATGCATCATTTGCCGGATGTGGAAGTATGTAACAAAAAATGTCAACGGTTTTGTGAAATGGCATAAAAGATAAAATTGAAAGCAGTAAAAATGTTCACTATTAAGAAAAACGATAAAAAAAAAATTCAAGTTTTTCTTACTCCATACCACACAACTGAATTCACCCCAATCTGCAATGATTCAAGTCATTAAATAGTTTATGAGGTTGAACAATTCCAACTAAAACCCGAATTTATGCCGGAAAGACGACCACTTTTGGTTTTGTAAAACATTTCGATATAGTTGTTGTGAAATATTCATTAATCTTTATTTATTCGGTTTTTTTTTCTCCCATTTTTTTTCTCTTTCGTTTCAAATAAATTGCCAGTCCATTGTGATGTATCCACCACCATCAATCTATACGTGTACGGCTCGAGTTTGGTTACGTGAAATCGGCTTTTCATTGACATATGGCGCACTGATGCTGAAAACGTGGCGGTAAGTTTGGGAGAGAGAGACAAAAAAATTGCTCAACAATTTATTTTCTTTTAAATCTATTGACTAGATCGAGAGGAGAGTAAGTTCATCTGACTTTGATATGAAAGAGAAGAGTAAGTTTCTTTCGACTCAAAAATGGTTAAAGACGAGAATGTTCATTTTTGGCGGGTCCTCGCGGTTTTACACGGTTTCCGCGGAACTGATTAGAGATAACAACTTGGTGTCTTCGGCAAAGTTGTAGCACTCGAGGTCTTTTATAACATTGCTGAAGTTAGTTATCTCTTATCTCTTATCTCTTATCAGTTCCGCGAAAAGCGCGAAAAATGATAAGAAAAAAAAAGATCTATATAAAATTTGCTTTTTTATGTGCGCCATTTGCGCGCAACTGAAAAGAGATAAGAGATAGATGTCTTCAGCAATGTTATAGAAGACCTTGAGTACTAAAACTTTGCCGAAGACACCATGTTGTTATCTCCTATCAGTTGCGCGAAAACCGTGAAGACCGCAGAGGCTAGACGGTACTACAACATACTCTACTTTAACTCCAACAGAATCATCAGAAAACATACTCTCCTCTTTCAAAATATATTAGAATATTTTCACATACTCTCCTCTCGATCTAGTCAATAGAAATATCAGTCGAGAGTAAATTTGTTTCCCTCATAATTGAATTCGTTTTTTTTCTTTGTTTTTTTTTTCTCTCAAAATAACATGTGAATTTCCCGTTTTTTTTTTCCTATCGTACCTAATAGAATATCGGTGGTGTTTCGAGTTCGTTCGGCCAAAGCTGTGAAAATAACGGATGCAACACTGTTGAAGCGATTGGGTATCATTTGCCTTTGCGTTGGTATTGGTTTGTTAGTCCGGACGATAGTTGCACCGCCCGTTGTTATAGTCGGTCGTACAGCCGACGACTTGAAAGCGTTCCTCTGCAAAGCTGACTGGTGGGACCATACATTCACATCGAGTGAGTATTTTTTGTTTTAAACTCTATATTTGGACCATCACAACAACAATGATCACATTTAGCCATTAACAATCGATGGCCAACGAATGGAATCACCATGAGGCGATTTTCCGTACGAAAAAAAATGCATGCCCATCGACATGAGGTCAACAATGTTTGAAAAATATTTCGTAGAAATTCGATTAACTTTGGTCAAAACAAATCATGTTGATTTTTAATTAAATATATATTATATATAAATGCCGATGGTCAAGATACCTATTGGGAGGTCGATTTAAAATATTTTATCGGCAATAAACAAACTTGTTCTCTTAAGTCATTTGAATATTCAATTACTGAACGAACCAATAAATAATTTAATTACCAGTTTTGACATGCGAGTGTTCTCGATAAATATGTGGGGTTCAGAGAAAATTCACCTCTGAAAAATGAGCGCTTGGGGAGTTCACACACAACCAAAAAAGAAAAAAACTTTCACCTGTCTTGTTGTTGAAATCACAATGCTATATTTATTTATTATACAGAGAGAGGGAGAGAGAGAGAGAGAAAGTGGAAGCAATGAACGTGGCATGCATATTTTCCAATTGAATGTATATTGGTCGAATAAACTTTTGATCGATGAACATTGTTGTTGTTGTTGTTATCTTCATTGAACTTTTATTTTATTTGCTTTGCAGTGGAGGTATTGTTTTTGGCCTGGGGCGTTCGATTGTGTATCATGGTACGAAAAGCACCGTCCGAATTCAACGAAAGCCGATTTATCTCCATGGCGATCTACAACGAATTTTTCCTAACCTGCTTTCTAAATGTGTCTATGTAAGTACAAATGCCATGCACATTTTTGAATGTATGTAATAAGAGCCGCCCGCAAAATACCACATCGACTAATCAGCGGATGTGAAGAAAATGATGCAATCAATTTGAAGTAATTAAATCAAATAATCCACATATGCTACGCATGATTGGATGTATTGTGTATTACCATTGGAAATTACAGCACAATAAATATCTAATAGCCTAAAAAAGAATCAAACGTACAGCTTTAAACCACAATTGTTCAACCATAGGAACATTCTAAACAATATGAATGGCCAATATATGGATATCCGAATAAAAAAATAAAGTCATTGTTTTTAATTTCCACTGCAATAAATCGGTATAGTCTTTAATTGTTAGCTGTATTAATTTAGGTTTGAAGTCATAGCATCAAAATGGCCCAATGTTCAGCTGGCTGAAAACTCTGTAACCGCAAAGGCCAAGGGCAAATCACTCAAAAGTAATACAACGCTGCTGAAAAAGTAATACAACGTGAAAAAAGTAATACAACTTTTTAGTGAATTGCCCCTTGGCAAAGGCTCTCGGAAATTTGTGCTTACAACGTCAAAGCAATTGACATTTCAATGCTTTTAAGTCAGCAGAACGTCAATGCTGCTAATGACATTGACGTTTTAGGCAAAAGCAACATAGGCGATTTCTGAGAGCCTTTCTCTTTAAAAAAAATTAAATACTGCACCGAACCATTACCACCAGTAAGGTGCTCAACAAAAGCTCTTCAACATAGAGATTCATAAGTCTTTGTTGCTTGTACATAGGAAACGGCATTTTTCGTTCAATTCACTTCATTTGCATGCGAAAAAAAAATTTCTATTTCTAGCGCCTCGGTTTCTTTCATTACGGCAAGTTATGTATTATATGCGTTGGTTACCCCAAGGTGCAAATAATTGCACTAGGAATCATTGCGATATGACGCATAGATGAGCCAATAAACTAATTTGAAATTTGAATTTTTTTTTCGCATGGGAACTGTAAATGAGTCTTTAAGCACAAATTATTGTTATCGGTTATATTGTTTGACAAATAATTTTGGGAACAAAATTTCTGATGGGAACAGAAATGAAATCATCTCGCCGAATTTGATAATATGAAAAGTCGTTAAACAATGGACGGTACACAGATTTGTTTTTTTTTTGTTCGAACTTGGATTATTTCGACTTTTTCCCCTCTCTCTTTCGTTGTTTTTGGATGGCGTCGTCGACTGCGACAGACATTAAGAAAATTAACAAACAACAAAGAATTTATGAACTTGAAGCGGAGCTCATTCGGATTTCGATTGTAGTCAGTGTGTGTGTGTGTGTTTTTTTTCTCCTCTCTTCGTCGTTTGATAACAATCAAAGCAAATATCTTTTCAATGAATCGGAGCCAACGAAAAAGCTCGTAACTTATTTTCGCAGTACCGAAAAATTGAATTTTTGTAGCTTGAGACAAAAGCATCATCAGCATAGATGAGACACGCTTGAAGAGTTTGTTCGCCTCCTTTCCGTCTTTAACGCTGAAATTCTTCGACGGAGTGAGAGAATGAAAAATCAATAGTTCATCTCTCAACGCTAATGGAAGTGCACATAGATGAATTAATCACATACACACAACGGATATATTGATACGCGTAACGATAGGATGGTGTAGTTTTTTTTCTTAAAATTTCGAAGGGAAATTGCATTTAAATGGTCTGTTTCGAAATTGTACTTATCGGTTAACTCGCTAAGATTGATCGAATGTTTAATCAATGAGAAAATGAAGAATCCATCTTTTCAACAAAATGCTCGAGGTCGTCTTTCGGATGGGAATGAGAGGCGGTTCAATGCACACAAATTCCATTCGCATGGTATTCAAAATTCAATAAAATTACATTCCAAACATTTTTTGATTAAATACAACGAAGCAACAATGCGTAGCCGCTCTTTCACTACTCCTTTTTTGCATGCCAAACCACGTTGCAAAGTTGTTTGAGGGTACGAAAAGTTTTCATCTTCCGGCACACACACACACACATACAACGGTGTGCTCTTTTCACAGAATCTTTACTTTAACTTTTGCATGAAATGTAGCGAACCGTGCTTGGCTCACGGCACTTGCAAATAAGTTTCAATTAAGACTGTTGCATTTTTGTTTGACTACGAAGTGAGCTAAGGAGACAGAGGGTGGCAGCATGTACCATTTTCTATTGTATGACATTGTTGCGATGTCAAGAAATCGGGAAATGAATGCACACACCAACTGATTTCATTCAAACTTTTCCTTGTTAATCCAATTTTAAGTAGATTGTTGAAAAATGTGCGCTAGTGTTTTGTGTGTGTGTGTTTGCATTTGCTGTGGTTCAAAATCGCTGCAGTTTATACTTTTTGATTCAATTGCAAGTACATGACAATGCTAGCGTATCACAATTTATATGAAAAGTCTTTTATTATACAATTATGCTCGAAATAGGGTGGAAAAAGTATTTTCTCTCTCTGTCTCTCATTCTTTCTGATTTTCATATATTTAGTTTCCCTAAAATCTGTCGTCGTTTGACAAATAGACAAAATGGTCCATCCAATCGTTCGTTTGGCCAAAATTAAGCGCATTACTATCGAGTCATTTGAAAAGCTTCTTTCGTGCCTGACTTCTTATCTAATGTTTTATGTCACAGAATCGAAAACGCACTCATACACCAATATACCTAAGATGATTTTTGTTCCTTTTTAGCACATGGACTGGTGCCGTAAAGTCATACTAAACTACTCAAGTATTTTAGATAATGCTACTTTTTGACTCTACAATATTAGAATCGCAACGATTCAATTGCTT